TCCTAATTTACCATCTACCCTATCCATCATCTCCTTAGATGTGAATTGAACCCTTAAGGAGAGGTTTGTGCATGAGTGTTCACCCTAAAAAATTGAGCCACACCAACCTTCTCTAAAAAAAATATCCGTTTGACACATATATTTATGCAATGTGAAATTTTGCTTTAAATTTCGAACTTCATGAATATGTACTTTATATCAAATCAAGTGAAGAGTAAACAAAAAGTAAGAGTGATCGTAGTTTTTGGCGTGAAAAAATTTTCTTTGTATGGATTTGAAGATATGGGAGCTTGATTTAGGCAATAAGCTAAGGAGGTGTTCAAATAAATTATGTTGACAAACAAATGAAAAAACAATGTGAAAATATTTATCTGCTATTGATCTTGATTTGGCAAGAGTCTCTTGGTTGAAACTTGAAAGAATCCATTCCCAAACTTTATGGGAACTGGTCATCTCCTAGGATTGAGCAGGAAAATTTCTTGATATTTTATGATGCCAAATGGAGGTAATTCATTAGGGAGGTAATTCTCTTTTATGAAGGACGAAATGGAGCGGGTATTAAAAGTTTTCTACTTGGGATTTCAAATGCAATTAACATGATGAGGGCAGCCAAACAATCAACACCGGCGCTTCAACAACCTTCGATGACTCCAAGTATGAAAATGATCTTTTTACTCCCTGGTTGGATGAGTATCACTCCCACCAAAATGAATCTTCTATTTCTGGAGCATTACTTCAAGTTGATATTGAGCTTTCTACCTCAATAGAGAAATCCCGGGTGTCGCACTTTACCGAGGGCATTCATCTATCCCAAATAGACTCCTTAAAACATTTCATTCAAACTTCTATCAATAACAGGGTGGATTCACTTTCTCAATTTTTACTCAAGGAATTTGAAAGAATGCTCTCCTCGTTTTTGGGAAATCAAGATTCTAGACCTGTCGAAAATACAGAAGCTAATGACATCAAAACTCAGGAGGCCAACTTTTCAGGAGATGCTTACGTAGGTAAACAATATCTTGACTATGAGGGTGTATTTGATGAGAAATAGGGAAATTTACAACAAGGCTTCCCTGATCACAACAGAAAATTGCCTCCCTGCACAAAATCTCAAAATTCAAATGAAATTACACAGAAAAAGGCATCAGAGATCGCATCACATGAAGACGAGATCCCAATCACACATGGAATTCTCATGAATTTCTCGGGAGGGTTTTCTTTACTTGTTCTTAGGGTTGGGATTTTTCTTTAATATTATGTCTTTTGTATTTCCTTTTTTTTCCTTTGTACTCTTCTTTACTTGCTCTTCAATAAAAATTCCCTTTAAAAAAATTAGATTTACATAATTCAAAAACTTCTTGAATCTTATTTATCATGATTAATGCACAATTCAAAACGAATATACACTTAATATTTGTTAAAAGAGGTTGTCAAGAATGATCAATCGAAAAAGAAAGTTATCTTTAAGTTGAAGGATACATTCTTAGAGTAATTTTATGGATAGGGCAGGTTTAAACAAGTCAAGATTATTATACTTTTATTGAACCAGAACTATTTGTCTGGACAACTATTGCCTTAAATAATTCAATACATAATGTCATTACTGAATTCTAAGTTGATTGAAATAACCATGTTAATTGAATGCTAACTTAATTAAGTGATCAATATTGTTAAATTGGTTATTGTTGGGAAAGCATTATTATCAGAAGTGTAATCTTTAATTTGAGAAGGCAAAACGGCAAAACTTGTTATATGCATGTAATCGGCAAAACTTGTTATTTTGCATAGTGATTGAAATAAAGTATTTGCAGCTTGACTTTATAAGTTGTTATTTTATTTTAAAAGTTAAGGACTTAAGGTAACATAGAAATGAATGGTTTCGTTTATAGAAATAAGTTCTTAGAATTCTTTTAAATATGGGCATAGTAGTAGTTATTCCCAGCAAATCTAATGCAATTCAATTAGCAAATAGAAAAATAGAATGCATTTTTACTCATTTCAATTTTCAATAGCTTTAATTTAGCGGAAAATCATGTTGTACATCTCAATGCCTTGCATCGTAGCCCTATGACCGACTTGAGTAGAAAACTTCAAAATGTAGATTACTTCTGATCTGAGTACAACGAAAACTTGTAACACTGATGTTGGAAAGAAACAAAAGTCGAGGAGTATACACTATGCATAGCCGAAAGATCCAGAAATTAATGGAGTTAGTTACTAAATTTGGAGCAATTTGTGAAATAAACTTTCACAGATAGAGATCTTTTAGATGATATATGCGTGTGAATGATGTGATAATTATCTACGTAGAATAACAAATACCTCCGTCCTATTTTATGTGTATTTTGGTTTGATACGGTAAGTATATAGAGTATACATCTAGTGAGAAGGGGAGTTAACGATGTTTTTCAACCCTCTATACCTACCTCAAAGGGAGTATTTATAAAAGAAATGTGGGCTGGACTCTAAGGTTTTGGCATGGGTCCGAGACGTCTGTTTACAATGATGGTCCAACGAGTGGTTGTATAAACTGAAATAAAAGGTATGATTGATATTTGAGTGCAATAAAATGAAATATTGTGCACTACATACTTCTTTTTTTAAAAATAAACTTGACACTTATTTTGAAATAATGCAAAATGAAAAGTACTACGTAGTATATACTCCTTCCGTTCTCTAATACATGTTCCTCTTTCCATTTTGGGATGTTCTATAATACATGTCTCTCTTTCCATTTTGAGAAATTATTTCCAATAAATATACCTATATACCCTTATTCTCTTTCTTATTTTTTCATTCACTTTCCTACTTTTTTCTTTACACATAACTCACTACACCTTTTATCTTACTCCTATTAATTCCTCCTTAAAACTTGTGCCAAAGGCTATACTCCTATCTACGTAGTATTAGAGAATGGATGGAGTATAAAACAAGTTAAATAAGACGGAAGGAATACAAATATTCAAAGAAAATTACTTAAACAATCAAAAGTATTGATAGCCTATTTGAGACATGGGGCTTTCTAGGCAGCAAAAGTGTTGGGAAATGAAGGTGAATAAATATGAGTTTATTGCAGATAGATCTAGTTTATAAAATGCCCGTTTAAAAGTACTTTCATACGTAAATTATAAGATACACTTAACCAACTAATTGAAGACTTGATCGACATTCAATTAATCTTATACGAACACCTCTAGTTAATAGGATAAGAGAATGTTCTTATGGGAACGATTTCTAAACATATCTTTATAAGGGAACCTTAATATTCAATTGCCATTTCTAATGCTTAACACTGGGTTTAATGCACCAAACCCCCTCGTGATATAAAAATTTAGCGCATTACCCCCCTGTGATTTAAAAAATGCGTCAAACCCCCTTGTGTTTTGATTAATCATGCACAAAACCCCTTTTATGAATAAATTTAATGATTTGAAAATCACTTTTCGTAATATTTTGATTGAATATGCTAGTAAATATGTCTAAATTTCTAAATCATACAAAAATGTTAATCATTTTTTTTTATTTGGCAATTAAATTTGTTAATAGAAGGGATTTTGCGCACGATTAATTAAAACATAAGGGGGTTTGACGCATTTTTTAAATCACAGGGACAAATGCACTGAATTTCTATATCACAGGGGTGTTTTGTGCATTAAACCCACATTTTTGTGATTATCTTGAAATAATCAATTGCCTCACTTTTTATTTTGAAAATGAAGCACACACCGAAACTACACGTATTGGTTATATTAGACTTGATTCACTCATAGATTATTATGCACTTTTTATCAAATGCTCTAAATTGCGTTAAATACAACTGGGACAAGTAAATTGAAGTTGAGAAAGCATGCATATAGTCACATTTAATGCAATTTTAACACACTTTTTTTCAATAGTGACTTCAAAGAAAATTACTTAAACAATGAAAAGCTGAGACATATATATAGGGCTTTCTAGGCAGCAAAAGTGTTGGGAAATGAGGGTGAATATATATGAGTTTGGTGCATATAGATATTGTTTATAAAATGCCCATTTAAGAGATACTTTAATTCATATGTAAATTATGATAAACTTAATCAACTACTATACGACTTGATATTCAATTAATCTTATTTGAACACCGCTAACTAATATGGACTCCAACCCCGGTCGGCTGACTATTGGGCCAGGACAGCGGTTCACGTACACCAGCAAACAACATTTATATTACTGTATAGTTTACATATTCATTGTATGTACTAGATTCGTTTATATACTATCAGTCCATTTATGTACTCGGGTCTGTCAGACCCATATTAGAGGTTTAGACCCGGATTTCCCTATATATACTCCTTATAGGAGACTTGTAAACCCTAAGTCACAATTTATTCAACAATATACACATTCTCCTTCTCCATATCTTGTTCAATATCTCTAAATTATACGATATGAGTATCGGTTATCCATCAGATATTGTGAGAGAGATTTCAACATATATACACCTTCATATCTATATTGACGACATTTTTAACGATTAACACTAAAACACAACATTTCTTGTGATTATCTTGAAATAATCACATGCCTCGTTTTTTATTTTGAAATTGAAGTACACACTAAAACCACACGTATTCGTGATATTAGACTTGATTCACTCATAATTAATTATGCACTCTTATGTGCAAATGCTCTTAAAAGAATACAATTGTCTTAATAAATTACGTTAAAATACAATTGGGACAAGTAAATTGAAGTTGAGAAGGCATATAGACAAACAAATTATCTACCGAAATTTAATGTAACATTAATGATACATTTAATTTATTAGAGATAAATGCGTTCAATTAACGAGATTGACTAAACTAATTGTGCCAAAAAACAACAACAAATTTGTGTCCTTAAAGGTAATAAAAGAGCCGTTTACACTTACTTAATGCCAACGGGACGCGGTTTCGTTTCCACTCACACGCTTACTCCTTTCCAAATCCAGTATTTATACGCTTTATTAATTTCTTCCTTTTCATCCTCCTTTCGCGTTTCTTCGATTTAATTTGATGAGATTTTCTAGAGATTAATCCTTAATCTCTTCCAGTTTCTGGAATTCTGCTACACATTTTGCCTGCAATGGCTGATCAGGTACATTCTCGCGACTCGCCGCCGTCTCCAGGGGCTCGGCCGCCATCGCCGCTTCCCGCAAAATCGGCCCCTTCGCCGGGAACATACGTCATCCAGGTCCCGAAGGACCAAATATACCGCTACCCTCCGCCGGATAATCCCCGCCGCTCGAGGTCAATTGCGGCTCGGAAGCGTCGCCGCGGGTGCTGCTGCCGCTGCCTCTGCGTTACTCTCTGCTTCTTCGTGGCCCTCCTCTTCGCCCTCGCCATCGCCGCCGGCGTCTTCTACCTCGTCGTCCGGCCGGAATCGCCGAATTACAGCGTCTCTGCCGTTGCAATCAAGGGGCTGAACGCGACGTCGGAGTCCCCGATTTCGCCGGAATTTGACGTCACTGTCCGGTCTGAAAACCCTAATGACAAAATCGGGATTTATTACAGGCCGGGGAGCTCTGTCACGATTTCTTATTCCGGCGTTGAGCTAGGTTACGGTGAAGTTCCGGGGTTTTACCAGCCGGCGGTTAACGTGACGGACGTCCACGTTGAGCTGAAGAGATCCGATATTTTGCTGAGTAACGCCGTTAAATCGTCACTCCTATACCAGCAAAGACAACGGCAACTAAACTTCAAGCTGAATATCAAATCTCCCGTCAAGATTAAGGTTGGGGCCGTTAAGACGTGGGAAGTTACGGTTAAGGTTAACTGTGACCTAGCGGTGAATGCGTTGAACGATAAATCCAACTTACTTTCAAAGAGTTGTAGTTACAGTGTGAAGCTGTGGTAAAAAAACCGTTTCGATATTTTTTCTTTGCTTATAAAATTAAATTAATTTTTTGTTTTCACTAGATAAATACAAATATGAACAGAAAATACACATGATCAAAAAAAAAAAACAGAAAATACACTATTACAGTTTTACCATAGAAAAAAAATGACGTTGTATATGTATTACTCCTTAAAATATACTTCGTACAAAGAGAATTTTTTTATACAAAGAGAAAATTTTAAAACATGTATCGTGGTCTTAGATTTGGAGGTCAGATGTAGAATTGTAGATTTTTGACCTTTTGTCCTTTTTATAAATCATACTCATTCTTTGCAGTAATTAATTATTACTGATCCTAAAATGCAAGGAGATACTTCACGTATTATTTTAGGTGTCACTAGGGGTGTGCACGGGTCGGGTTCGGGCGGGTCGGGTTTGCAAACCCTAAACCCGTTCGGGTTTTTTAATTTAAATATTAGGCCCGACCCTTTAATATTTCAAATCGGGTATTTCGGATATTTTTAAGTCGGATATTATCGGATATCGGGTCGGGTTTCGGATATTTCGGTTATATTAAAAAAATTATAATTGGATAATTAAAGTGTTTAAATGCCACTTTGACAAAAATTGTACACACTAGTGCACTAAACTTCCAAATTACACAAATAATTTAACACAAATTGCACAAATAATTACACAAATAATTGAACAAAATTAATAATTTAACATATTCAAAGTACACACTACATAATTTAATATATTTTGGATATTTTGGTTATAGCAAAACACATTATAATTGGATAGTTAAAGTGTTGGAATGCCACTTTAACAAAAATTGTACACAATAGTTCACTTCACATCCAATTTACACAAATAATTTAATATAAATTGCACAAATAATTACACAAATAATTGAACACAAGTATTAATTTAAATATTCAAAGTACACACTAAACATATATTTCGGATATTCGGGCGGGTCGGGTTGGGATTTCACAAACCCTACCCGCCACCCGGTCTAGGCCCAATACTAATCGGATTTTCGGTTTCGGGTTTTTCGGGTCGGATATCCACTTCGGTTCGGATAATATCCGAAAAAAATATCGGGTTTTTCGGGTCTGATCGGGTTTTGCTCAGCCCTAGGTGTCACGCATAATATGATTATTAAAGTTACAATTAATATAAAATTGCAAGGTAAATCTAATATTTAGGCTAAATAGGTCAAATTAGGTACTTATTTGAATTGTTAAGTACATACATACCATTAACCATAGCAAAGGAAAATTTATAATGGACACCTTTTTATATACACCCCTATTTTGATCATTTATCGTAACAAAGTTACAAAGTGTTTAATTCTTTTAAAAGAATCCATTTAAAAAAAATTGTCTTATACAAATAAAATTTGGAAAATGAACCAAAATGTGTAGACAAAGAATTATCCATAACAAAGTTAAATTAGAATCATCATCACGATCAAAGAATGCAATAGCTCTATTTAAAAAATTCATTTACCGCTCAATCATTAAAAACTTTTTAATGATTGAGCGGTTCGGTTTACAGTTCGGTTTTTATCGGGTTCGGTTCGGTTCGGTTTCAAGTTGTTCGGTTTGGCGAAAAATGTATTTTGGTTTGGTTTCGGTTCAGTTCGAGAAATTTTCGGTTCAGTTCGGTTTGATGTTCGGTTTATAAAGCTAAAAAAATAATGTATAATTTCATATTTTTAAGTCAACATTTACTAATTTGAAATGGTTTATTTTAGTTTAAATCCAAACTAAATAAACTAAAACAAAGCAATAAAATCAAAATAGAGTTTTTTGATGTTGTGTGTAAAATAGCAATGGTGTACAAGCAATGTGCCAACATAAATAAAATATAAGTAGTGATTTACATGTGTGCAATGAACAAAATAGTAATGATTTAAACTGTTAATAGAAAGTGGGTGAGGGCTTAGGAGCTAGAGTTTGGGCAGTTATGTTTCACTCCAAATCACCAAGTCACTAAACCTACAACATCCCTAATGTATACATATAATGGACAAACACATTGTGTGTTTCACTAGTACAACCAAACTTACAATCTTCATACTGCACACATATAAGTGGCAAACATTCGGTTTGAGCAAATGTTTACCAAACAGTTTACTTAAGTAAACCCCAACCAAACCAAATCAAATCACCAATTTTAATAATATATGAAAGTTTTTTTGAGTTCCTTTAGTTCGGTTCGGTTAGTTTATTTAGTTCGGTTCGGTTTTGAGTTTTATCGATTTTGGTTCGGTTCGGTTCGGTTTAATACGGTTTGAAAGAAATAGTACCAAACTCAAACCAAATTGCATACGGTTCGATTTCGGTTCGGTTTAGTTCGGTTTGGTACAGTTCGGTTCGGTTAAACCAAATGGTTATGCTCACCCAGGGGCGGTCCTGAGAAAATGGAGGCCATGTGCAATAACAAAATTTGGGCCTTCCTTTCTGACATAAATATTGATCGACAAAAAGATGTTCTTAAAATATAGCTGCAGCAATTATAAATTTATTAAATATAAATAGCCTAACTAACTCATCAACTAATTACATTTAATTCTAAATAACAACCAAACTTGTTAAATTTCATTATTTCATCAATTCATCATACATTATTACATTAGTAGAGAAGTAGTACTACTACTAAAAAATTTATCTTGGGCCCTCCAATTTTTTGGGCCCTGTGCAGTCGCACACCCTAAACTCCCTCCGGACCGGCCCTGTGCTCACCCCTAATTATCGTTACTTGTGAATTAATAAAAAAAATGACATCGTTCAGCACCGGCCAGAATTACTCATGAATTACAATATGCTTGTTAGCCAATAAGAAAAGAAAATTATTAACCAAAATTGGAGTGAGAACCAGGCCCGGTCCTGACATTTTATGGGCCCGGGACAATACAAATAGACTGGACCTCAGGGATAGCGCGAGAATGTTTATAATGTTCTTTTTGCTATAAAAATCTACTAGTATAATTTAAAATCATACAATATTACCGTCAAAATACTAGTATAACACATCAAAAAAACCAACAAAGCATGCAGTGGCGGATCTATGTTCCAAACTATGGGTGTTCATTTATTTTCTATAATTAAAATTTGAAAAGACAATAAATAATTAAATTAAATTTATACATGTATACTAGCTTATTTTTTTCAAATCTAGGTGTTCATATGAACACCTTTGCACCTATATAGCTCCGCCACTGAAAGCATGTGGTTAGAAAATATATATAGAGAGGGTATTGAATCTATTGATAAGTGACATTCGATGATACAATGTACCTAACAGTCGAGTGAAACACGTATTGCAACTATATATTAGGCACAAAAATAATTTTGAATTAAAGAAAGTTGTGAAATTTATATCTTGTATAAGGAGTAACTATTTCATATTTTAATATAAATCACATTTTCACTAGACAAAAACAAATTCTAAGTTTCTAAATTATGGACACTAAAGTTCAATCTTTCACTAAAGAGAGCATTGGAGGAAATTTGTGAAATACATCAATGAATTCTGGATGTACATAAGACATGTACACTAAGTCACTAGAAGATTAAATTTAATGTAATAATCCGTAATGATTCAAAAGAAATGGTGAAATATGTTTCCAACGAATTCTAATGTAAATGTTTCTAAATTATAGACTTGTATTGTGTAGATGGTAAATACCAAATTAGAAGTATCTAAAAATATAAGTTTGATTTTATTTTTTATTTTTTATGAATTTAGGATGTATATATAATTAAAATATTTATGTACACATATATGTTTGAGAAATTCATGGGCCCTACTGGAGCAAAGGGCCCTGGGCGCATGCCCCTCCTGCCCATGCCTCAGGACCGGCCCTGGTGAGAACGTGGAGAGAAAGACGGATTTACGGGACCTTTTCGTTCTTGTTCCTAAACTACGAAGATGCCTTTTTTGGGACAAAAACACAGGAGTCGTCGTTCTTGTTCCTAAACTACGATGATGCCTTTTTTAGGACAAAAACACGGGAGTCGGAGTTAGGGTCGTAAATGAATCAAATAATTTGTGCTCGATTCGCGATTCGAATTCGTATAAGACGATTCGAATTCGGAAAATTCAAATACAAATACAAATAAGAATATTAAATTTGATTCGAGTTATTATCAAATACAAATAAGAATATCAGTGTATTCGATTCGAATATTTATCAAATATATTCGATTAATTATAATGGTAATATTAATATCAATATTAATAAAAATAGTAATAACACTATAATAACTTTTAAAAGATAATGATACTCTCAAAGTGTAGCCCATATATACATTTTTGCATACAAATTTCTAGCCTATTTGTAATAAATCAGAATATAAATACGAATACAAATCATTTTTGTTGTTCAAATGTCTTTCAAATACAATACAAATAATTATGTATTCGATTTGAAGAATAAAATTAGAGTTGTTCGACTTTTTGATATATACTATTATTAACTTATTTCATACATTATAAGTATAATTTCTAATATGTGCGTGTTAGTGTTTATTTCAAAAGGTTTGAAGTAGATTTTTATTTATTAATCATAAAATTGATTCACTTTAGTATATTGTGCACCATCTAAAAAAGCATTGATCCATTAAATTTAAATTCTAAAAACACATATTAAGTCATAGCATGCATTTACAACCTAAACAATACGAAGTATAAGAAAAGTTATTTTAAAGCGATACTCCGTATTTGACTAATATTTAACCTATGCTCAAATCGATTCGATATTCGTATATAATTCGTTAACTATTCGTGTTGTTAAACAAATACAAATACAAATCGAAATTAATATTCATTTCATATTTGAATTCCATTCAAAAAAATTAAAAAATTAATATTCGTATACACCTAGTCGGAGTTCTGAAATCCGACTCCACTTTCGGATTTGGGAAGGCATGCGGTTGAACCTCAAATCCTCAATGTTATAATAATAATAATATAATAATATTATTATTATAATATACGTAAATAATAATATATCAGATTTAAGTTTAGAACATTATTAAATATACAAGTATATGTTAATAGATTTATTATTGTGTAGGTATTACTGGGTCTTATTTATAACCTAAAACCAGTTTTGATTATAAGGTTTAAGTATGTCTTTTAGTCTCTCAAAATATGGTATATACTCCATTCGTCCGATTTAAAAGTTCTCGCTCACTATTTTTCGGTCAAAAGTGAATTGTTCTTAATTTTTTACTTTATATATCCAACTTTTATAAAATTTAATTTTTCTTGATAAGGTATTATAATATTTTTAAGATAGTTTCTGAATATGTAAATTTTATTTACTAAAAGTAATCCTAGACACAGACCAGTTAACTTTATGGTCAGTAAAACATTGTAATCCGTGTGAGAACCTTCAATTGGGACGGAGGGAGTAGTACATTTTATTTTATATATGTACTTGTAAAAAAAATGTTTTTCGCCCCCTGAAATTAAATGGTGTTTACTTTTTGTACTGAAGTTTGTTATTCTGGTTTGGTTTGGTCTGTCGGAGTCTGGTGTGGTCTGGTCTGAACCAGTCTTGTATGGTCTGGTAAAAGTCTGATCTCAATGTATTTTATAACTATGGAAGTCTGATCTAGTCTAGTCTGATCTGTTTAGGTCTGGTGTGATCTGGTTTGGTTTGGTCTAGTCTGGGACAAAAAAAAAGTCAAAAAGAAAACATCCTAAGTGTGGTAAAAAAATATTTGAAATTTATGTTGGTTTTGTTTTTAGTCACTCATGATGATAACAATCTCTTTTTGATAAATAAAAAAAGAAACTCAATTAATAGATTTCCTCTAATTCTATGTAATTTTAATTTTAAGAAGATTTATGCTCTCTAATTCGCCTAATTTAAGAAAATTATAAATAATATAAAAAAATTTAAATCCGATTGATATGGGACTCAAAAC